CACACACACACACACACACACACACACACGATATTAAGACTTTGAATTCAGGATGGATACAGAATCTCAACTCTTCCTGTTGCTTCTTCATTTAGAAAATGAATTAGACACTAGTTTTTTGTTTGTTTGTTTTTTGTCAGTCATGGGGCCTGAACTCTGGGCCTGGGCTCTGTCCCTCAGCTCTTCAGCTCAAGGCTAGCGCACTACCACTTGTTCACAGCGCCACTTCCAGCTTTTTTCTGCTTATGTGGTGCTGAGGAATCAAACTCAGGGCCTCATACATGCAAGGCAAGCACTCTACCACTGAGCCAACTTCCAGCCCCCTAGACACTAGTTTTTTTTTAGTAGTGCTTAATTCAAAGTAGGTGCTCAGTAAGAAGCTGAATATTTAGTCACTGCTGGCTGGGTGTGAGAGAAGCAATGGACTGGAAGACAGAAGGAAGTTCTGGCTTTGTCTTGACAATCTTCCCAGTTTGCTGGGTGACAACCTAAGGTCACCGACTTCTCTGGGCGCTGCAGTCCATCTCCGTGGAAGGAGGAGGATGGGCTGGGCCAGGGGCTGCCAGATCTGCTTTTGTAGAGTTTCACTGTGTGTATCGGAGCCACACACATTTCCGTTATCTGTGGCTGCCTTCCTACTGCCATAGTGGGCTTGAACAGGCATGATGGGGACCGTGGACAGGTGGCTAAGATATTGACTCATTGGCCCTCCGCAGACAGTTTGCTGACTCCTGGACTCAGGTTGCTGCAGGTGATTGGAATGGCAGCCCTGACCCTCCAGCCTCCCTCTCTATCTGGCTTTGCCTGCGTAACCCTGCCCCCTGACCTTGAACTTAGCCACGTGACTTGCTTGGCCAATGGGATGATAACAGAGGATTTGAAAATTACGACCTGATTGGCTCGGGGAACACACCCAGGCTGGCTTGCTAGAGGATGGAGGCCTTGTGGAGTAGACCAGAATCCCTCCACTGAGGCCAGCCAAGCTCAGCAAAGCCAGGTGCCAACCCTGGGTGTGTGCACAGGAGACTGAGGTTGTTGAGTACACTGAGGCTGTTGTGTGGCTGTCCACTACAGAGTTATCACAACATCCGCTTTCAACAATCCAATCCTTATCCCCTTCTCTAGACCCAGTCATCCCTCTAACTCTTCTGCTGCACCTTAAAAATCCGATGGTATTCAATCTCTGTGTGGCTTTTTCACTCAAGGCTAGAGTTCTACTTTCCACTTTGTGGCGGTTCATTGGCCATAAGAGTCTCAGATTTGTTGATAGGGGCTGGCTCTGAATCACAGTCCTCAGATCTCAGCCTCCTGAGCAGCTAGGATTAGAGGTGTGAGCCACTGGTGCCTGGTCCTTTTTGGCATTTTGACAGAGGTGGCCAGACAGGGGCAGTGCCCGGTGGGGTCTCTGCCTTCCTGTTTGGATCCCTTTGTGTGCACATGGGGACGTGGGGTCACCTGTTGGAAGATGCGGTGTGCCTCGGTTGCAGAGCAAACACAGATTTCAAACACTCAGTGGTACACAAATGCCCCGGGGAAAGCTGACATGAATTTGGAAGAAAAAAAGAATTTAAAAGAATTACCTGAAGTTCCTTAGTTTGGCTTTTAATTTTTTTATAATGCTCCAGAAGATAAACCAGATACAAGGAGAACCCTTAAAAAGAGAGAAGTGGGGAAAAGGTAAGAAGGAATCCACCTCCTTGGGGCTTTGCATAATGCTTGTTTCCTGTTTTCTTCTGAGCTATGGCCACACTGTCTCAGCCTCCTGAGTGCTGGGATTTCAGGTATGCACCACCATACTCAGCTTTGTGTAATGGCTTAATATAGTCTGCAGACAGGTGGACGCAGGCCCCACAGCCTTCCCATCAAGACAGCATGAGCTGCTGTGCAACTTTGTTAATTTACTTAGCATTTTGGGGCAAGACTGGGGTTTGGACTCAGAACCTCACACTTGTTAGGCAGACCGTCTACCGTGGAGCCGTGCCTCCAACCCTTTCCTGTGCTGGCTATTTTTGAGATATGGTACTGCTTCCTAACTAGAGATATGCCTGGGCCAAGATCTGCATCCCACTGTAGCCAGGATGACAGGCATGCACCACTATATGCAGCTATTGGTTGAGAATGAGGATCTCATGAGGTTTTGTGCCTGGCTTCAAATCTGGATTCTCCCAATCTCAGCCTCCCTCGTAGCCAAGATGAAGGGCATAAGCCACTGGTGCCTGTCTCCAACTTTTAAAGTAGGCTAATAAACTCTGGTGGGGTCAAAGCAAAGTCTTTTTTGAGATGGGAAATGAAAATCCATTAAGAGAACACCTACCTTTCTGAGGGTCCCCTGGGTGTTGTGTAGGCAGAATTGTGAATTAGGAGGGGAAGAATGATGGCTCCTTCCCTCAAGCCAACTCCTAAATCCTGGGGCCACTAATGTACCTTACACAGCAAAAGGGTCTTTGTTCAGAGGCTTAGGTTATTTTTGTTTGTTTGTTTCCTTTTCCCTGTACTGCTCCTGGTGCCTGAACTCAGGGCCTAGGTACTGTCCCTGTGCTTTTTTGCTCATGGTTAGTGCTCTAATACTTGAGCTGCAACTCTACTTCTGGAGCTAAGAGTCTCACACACTTTCCTGGTTAGCTAGGATTACAGGTGTGAGCCATGGCTATCTGGCAAGTAATTCCCCCCCTCCTTCCCTGCACCCCCCCACCCCCAGGGTATGATATAGACCATGCAGGCCTCAAACTTGCAAGCTTCCTGCTTCTGCTTCTTGAGCAGAAGCTCAAGGGATTATAGGTTTGAACCGTCATGCTTGGCAGGTGAAAGATTGAGATGCAGGATTATCCTGGACTGTCTGGTGAATCTAATATAAGCCCATAGATTAAGATCTTTCCATTGTAGAATTGGAGGTAAGCGTCTATTGGACCTTCCTCCCATCCCCCCAGGTTGGCTTTGAAACTCAGTCCTCCTGAGTAGTTAGGATCTATAGGTGTGAACCACCAGTGCCTGCCTAGTTTCTCTCTTCTTTACGGCTAGACAAAACTTCATTGTTTTGTGTAGACACGCCCTTTCTTCTTTGTTCACTCATCACCTGATGGGCACCTGGGAGGGCTCCACAGCTTGGCTATTGTGCACAGCAGTGCGGTAAGCATGGGCATGCAGGTCTCTCGGTCCCATGCCAATGACACTCATTTGCACAGATGCCTGCGGCTACAGCTGTGTTATACGGTGCTTCTAGGAGGAGCTCCTACGGAGGAGCTTCTGTGCTTATTTCCATAGTGGCTGCATTGACTGACAGCCCACCAGCCGTGTATAAGGGTTCCTTCACCTCCTTCCTTCCCCCCACAAACCTCCGTGGTTTATTTTCTGGATGACAGAGTTACAACAGAATCTCAGTTTCATTTTGATTTGGACGCAGGACATTTCTTTTTTAGGGGCCATTTGTTCTTTTGAGAACTGTTCAGTTCATCTGCCCATTTATTAATTGGATTGCTTGTTCTTTTGGTATTTAATTTTCTGAGTCCTTTGTATCTATATTCTGGCTACTAGTCCCTTGTCATAGAAAAATCAGACGACAATTTTCTCTTTCTAAGGCTATTTTTTCCCTTGGCCGCAGAAGACTTTTAATTTGACGCAGTCACCTTTGTCAGTCCTTGCTCTTATTCTCAGAGCTACTGCAGTCCTATTCATTGTCTGTGCCCGTGTCCTCCAGTGTTTTCTGCGTAGTTTTGTAGCGTCAGGCCCTGCATTAAAAGTCTTTGCTCCATGTTGAATCGATTGTCGTACCGAGTGGGAGAGAAGATATAGTCTTGTGCACGTGGACATCCAGTGTTCCCAGCACCATTTTTGGACGACTCTGTCTTTTCTCAGATGTGTGTTTCTGGAGACTTTGTGGAGAATCAGGTGGTTGTAGCCGGGTGGGTTTATTTCTAGGTCCTCTATTGGTGCCCTCCATTGCTCTGTGTGGAGATTTTCTTTTTTCAACTACCATGCAATGTTTAACGATGGCTCTGTAGTATAAGTTGAAATCAACCAGGTGCTGCGGGGCCTCTGGCATTGCTCTTTGGGCTATCCAGCTTTTGTACTTCTGTATGAATTTTTGGATTCCTTTAAAAAAATTTTTTTTGGCAGTGCTAGGGTGTGAACTCAGGCCTTGCACTTGCTAGGCAGGTTCTATACCACTTGAGCCATACTCCCAGCCCTTTTTTAGTTATTTTTTTTTTCCAGCTAGGATCTTCTTGCCTGTGCTGGTCTCAGACTGTGAGTCTCTAAATGCAGTCTCCTGTGCAGCTGAGATATAGGGACATACCTCCATCTCCAGCTTGTTTGTTGAGATGAGGTCTTAGGAACTTTTAGGGGGACTGTAGTCCCCCCAAGCTTTTGGGGGAGATGCAGCACATGTCGTTGGGGTCACAGAGCTTCCTTGGATGGCTGGTGAGGGAAGAGAGAAGCAAGGCAGAGGTGCTTGGGGTGAGGTGAGGGTTGGTTGTGGCAGGCAGGGAGCCGTAGCCTGAAGTGTGGAGATCTGATTTAAACGCCACAGGAAGGTGAGGAGTGCATCCCAGCCTAGGTGCCTGGCCTTCTGCTGGGCGAGGAAAGTGCCATGCCCTGCCATCGCCCCACCAGAAGGATGGGGTGTATGGCTGGGCGGGGCCCGGGCTCCAGGCAGAGTGACTGTGGGGGCTGAGACAGCACAGGCTCTTCACTGTAGCCCCATCGACGAGGGGGACTGCCAGCCCACTCGCCTGCCTGTGCCCCGCTCAGCGCTCAGTGGTGCCACCTCCTCCTCCTCCTCCTCTTCTTCTTTTTCTTCTTCCTCTTCTTCTGTATTTAAAGATATGTGTGTCTTGGAGAGTTGAGAATGGGTGATTTACCCTTGAGTGTGGAGAGAGGCCTTTTAATCACCACAAAGCCTTGCAGGAATAGACAGGAACATCCAGAGCGTGCAGAGAAAGCAGTATTTTCGTGGCCAGCATCAAAAGGTGGACAGGAAGGGGTGGGCAGAGGACAGACATGCATGCCACCCTCCGCCGCTTCCAGCAGCCCCTCAGCCTGTCCCACAGTGAGCAGCCTGCCCCGGGGCAACTCCCAGGGACACTTCGATTACTTCTGCTCGGTCCAGGTGGCCTGGCTCCCTGGGGATCTGTCTCAAGATGGCAGGCTCGCTTGCCATGTGTGTGTCCCTGTCCAGGGTCCTCTTTCTCAGAGGCAGGGAGAGGAATGGTCTGGAGGAAGGACTCGGGTTGGGTCCCAGAGAGGCCACCCGGAGCTGGGATATGAGTCTAGAAAGGGCGTCCAGCTTTCGCCCCACTGAGGGAGGGTGAGGGAGCTGCCAGGTGGAGTCTGGGCAGGGTTGACGGTGGCTCTGGCTTTGAGGTCGGGCTGTGCTGTGGAGTACACCGCCGTCTGCCGGCCTCCCCTGGGGAGGCCAAGTGAGACCGGCACCCACTGGAGGCTGCTGACCACAGGAAGGCTGGCCGTGCCAGGATGAGGATCGCCGGGAGTCCACGTCCACTTTACACATGGGTGAGCTGAGACACAGAGAAGCAGGAGTCACGGCACTGAAGTTCATACGCTGGTCGGTGGGTGGGTCTCAAAGCTTGAACTCAGAAACATCACGGGAGAACCCAATGGGTCTGGTGTCTCAATGTCCCCACCAGGCTTGGCTGGAAACTTCATCCCGCCGTGGTCCACGGTGGAAGGGAGGAGATTTGGGGTGGATGGAGCCACAAGGGGTCCCATGAGGGCTGTAGTGGACATGCAGGAGGAAGAGACCCACGCTGTGTCTCTCATGGGGTTGCCCCTCCCCTGAGACACAGGATCAGGCCTCGCCACCTGCCAGGCCAGCGCCTCGGCACCGGAGCTTCTAGAACTGCGAGACAAGGCTTTCTTTGCCCAGTCCAGGGCGTTCTGCCACAGACACACAGGGACGGACAGGTAGCTCAAGCCCAGGAACACCACTACCCCGCTTTCTTCTTGCCCAACACAGACAGGACCTGTGTTGTGGGAGACGGGCGTGGGCCAGGCACCCTCTCGTGTCCCGATGGGATTATGTGGGGATCAGAGATCTCAGCCCTTGTCTTGACCCTGCCAGCTCAGAGTATTTAACACCGAGTCCTGCGTCCCTTCCTTAAAATGAAGATAGCGGAAGCACCTGCCTCATCGAGCACCAGGGACAGAGGCACACAACTCATGAAACACCTGGCACCGAGCAGCTAAGCACTTGGGAATAAAGCACCTGACACAGAGTGAAGTCCCCAAGGACGCAACCACAGCGCTTAGTACCCAGGAATAAAGCATAGAGCTAAGTACTCAGGAATGAAGCACCTAACACAGAGCCAAGTACCGAGGAACCTCTATATGACAGTGCCTGCATATCCCTTGGTAGTGGTGGACACGGAGGTGCTCGGGGTTCATAGATGGTGAGGAGTGGTAACGTGAGGCATCCCAGATCTCCTACTATCTCCTCTTTTGTGCCCTGAGGAGAACAAGTCCTGCTTACAGAGCAGATGTGAGGAAGAACTGACACCAAGCATGAGGCAAGCTGAGTATGGCGTACTGAATCTGTGTGTTCAGTAGTGAAGAATGCCTGCATTTACCTCCACTGTCCTCATCACCGTCACCACCACCACTACCACCACGACCATCATCACCACCATCATCACCATCACCACGACTACCACCACTACCATCACTGTCATCATCACCACCGCCATCACCATCATCACAATCATCACCACCATCACCATCATCACCACCACCACCACCACCACCATCACCACCACCACCACCATCACCACCATCATCACCATCACCACGACTACCACCACTACCATCATTGTCATCATTACCACCACCACCACCATCACCATCATCATTACCACCACCACCACCACCATCACCATCATCATCACCATTACCACCACCATTACCATCATCATCATTACCATCATCATCACCACCACCATCAACAACAAAATAATCATTTCTACCATCATCACTACCACCACCATCACCATCATCACCACCACCACCACCACCACCATCATCACCACCATCACCACCACCACCACCATCAGCACTACCACCATCATCACCATCACCACGACTACCACCACTACCATCACCGTCATCATCACCACCACCATTACCACCATCAACAACAAAATCATCATCTCTACCATCATCACCACCACCATCACCATGACTACCACTACCACCACCACCATAATCACCACCATCACCATTATTACCTTCACCATCATCATCACCATCACCACCACTTTTACCTACACCACCATCACTCTCTCTTCCTTCTCCTCCTCCTGGTACCGATGGCCCTGTGGTGGCCAGTAGTAAAGAATATAGAGGATATCTAGCATATCCATTTCCTTGAATCTTGAACTGGGTGAGGTGCATGTCCTCTTCTGTGGTGTGGATGAAGGGTAGGCTCTATGTACAAACCTTTCTGTTCTTATTTGCTGTTCTTTTTCTCCCTGCATCTTGGGAGCCAGGAATTATAATCACAGAAGCCACCAGACAACTGCTCCACTGGCAGTGTTCCACAGAACGTTCCAAGAGGCACTCGTTGGGGGTGCAGGAAGCAAGGACATCTGAACTTTGGGACCATGCAGAGACTGGTTTGGTGTTGCTCAGATCCTGTGACTCTCTGAAGTCAGGGATGAAGACCAGCAAGTCTGCACACAGTCTTTCTCAAGGGTTTCTGCTGTTGCTGGTCTGACAGCTTAACTTTACAAACATGTTTCTTCACAGTGGTTTGGTGTTGCTCAGATCCTGTGACTCTCTGAAGTCAGGGATGAAGACCGGCAAGTCTGCACACAGTCTTTCTCAAGGGTTTCTGCTGTTGCTGGTCTGACAGCTTAACTTTACAAACATGTTTCTTCACAGTAACGTACGGCTAGACTACAGACATGGGTGTCAATGGTCCAGAGGGTGGAACATCTGTTGCCAGGATGGATGAGGGGCTGCGCTGTGAGAGTTCCAATCTGAGAATGATGACAAGTTGGTCCATGCTTCAGCTGGCATCTGTCACGATGACAGCAGCAGTGACCGGGAGCACTGGTGGGGCTTCCCGCCCCTCCTCCCTCTGCCCTGGCCCTCACTGGCCTCTCTTTTTGCCATAAAGAAGCCTGGGCATTTACCAACAATTCGGCTGCTTTTCACTCCTGTGTAATTTTGAAGAACTCTGTACCACCTGCTGGACTGCTCTGGAAATACCCTGGCTGGGAGGCTGAGATGGAGTGTAGACCCCACCCTCTGGTCTCACTGCTGCAGCCAGCATCACACGTACCCAGCTGCCCTGGAGGACACTTCCCACGGGGTGGCAGCAGTCTCAGAATGTTAGATTTCCTCAAGTGTTAAAATTCTTTCTCAGTGGTATTGTGCACATCTGTGGTTTTATTCAACCATCCACCCAACTACCATCCATGCATTCAGCCATCCATTCACCCAGCCACCATCTACCCACCCATCTATCCATCCACTCATCTACCCATCCTTTCACCTGCCCACCCATCCACTCATCCACTATCCATCCCATCTACCCATCCACCATCCATCCACCTACCTACCCATCCATCCACCCATCCACCCACCATTCATCCATCTATCCACCCATCCTTCCATCTGTCTATCCATTCACCAACCCACCATCCATCCATCCACCCACCTACCATCCACACATCCATCTGTCTGTGTCCACCTATCCACCCACCCATCTATCCATCCATCCACCTATCTACCACTCATCTGTCACCCATCCATTCACCTATCTACCTCCTATCCATCCATCTACCCACCCACCATCCATCTGTCCACCCATTTATCCATCTACCCATTCATCTATTCATCCACCCATCCATCTAACCACCATCCATCCATCCATCCACCATCCATCTGTCCATCCATCATATAAACATCGGTGAGGCAGCTGGGTACTTCCCTGGCACTAGACACATTGCTATCATCCATTTCTAGACAAAGCACCCAGGTGCAGCAGCCCCCAGGCCCCTCAGCTTGGATGTCTTCCAGGCCCTCACACCTGGGCCTGACTCTGGGCTTCAGTGAAGGCAACACATCTGTTGTTTTACACGTGCCAGACACTTAGAAGCTATGTGAGCCACACTTTCCCTCTGCAGCTTCCCTGGTCACCATGACCCATTCCACGGCAGAGAACTGTTAATTTCGCTTAGTAGCTCCAGAACTTCCTCTCACTCCATCCCCACGGCAGCTACCATCACTCCTAATGCCAGCCTCCTGCCTGGACTCCCTGTGCTTGAGTCTGGCCACCTTCCAGTGTCCTTTCCACATGTGGCCAAGATGAATGCATCCCTGCCCCACAGGGTCCTTTCTTGAGCTCTTTCAGGGCTTTCTTGCTGCTGACTTTACCAGCCTGAGATTTTTTTTTTCCTCAAGGCTAACACACTATCCCTTGAGCCACAGTTCCACTTTTGGCTTTTTTTGTGGTTAATTGGAGATAAAGAGTCTTGTGGACTTTTCTGTCTGGGCTGGCTTTGAACAGTGATCTCAGATCTCAGCCTCCTGAGTAGCTTGGATTATAGGTATGAGCCACAAGCACCTAGCCATCAATACATTTTAAATCTCCCTATGATCTTAAAAAGTGATGGTGACTCCTCACAAGTTCTACTTTGTAGGTGAGGAAACTGAGGTGCACAGAGAGAGGGTAAACAGCAAGGCTAGAATCACACAGCTCTTTCCACAGAAAAATGCCACATTTCCCAATGTCACAGCAGTTATTGCTAAGCTAGACAGGAGCTAGCCTAATTCTGATGTCATTTTCTTGTTGCCTCTGTTACCCTTTTACTTTCTTTATAATGATGACCCACCTTTTGTGGGTCTTCATGGTTTCTAGAGTCTACAACTTGGGTCACACCCCTAGTTCTCTTGCTTTTTTTTCTCCCATAGTTTGTTTCTTAGATCAGGTCTTAGATTTTGGTCCTCCTACCTCTACCTCCAGAATAGCTGGGATTACAGGTGTGCACCATCACACCTGGACTATGTGGTGTTGTTTTTATTGTTTTTTTTTTAAAAGGAAAATCACTTTCCAACCCAAATGAGTCTGGACCAAAGAAGGGAACACTCAGCCACATACCCACGAAGCCTTCTAAACAGATGAGCCATCTGGGGAAGATTCATGGCGACATCCTAGAGTCAGTCCCGTGTCTAGGAGAGGAAAAGCCCCAATCACCTTTGTCAGTGTCAGAGAGCTGGATGCCCATATCACTGAGGAGCTTCTCCACTTCCTCCACCCAGGACACGGAGAGGCTCAACACATCCAGGCTGATTTTGTGAAGCCCGGACACAGGTGGCCTCATGTCCAGGCACCGGAGGAGGTCCAGCTCCCGTCTCAGGTCACTGCTACGGCAAGACCTTTTCATGCAAGCCTGAAAATGGACAAGGACATGAAGAACCTACACCCCACGGCAGGAGTGGCACCACAGAGGCCTGCAGGAAGCAGAGTTACAGACCCACCCCTGGGCAGGCAGAACTCAGGCTGGTGGGCCCTGAGATGGCTCAGTTTTGAGTGGTTTCGGTTTGTTTTTCTTTTGGGGGGTGGCTTTTTTTTTCTCACATGCCAATTGGACTTCGGATGAGTGGAGAGAACTCCCTCTTAGGCTGTGCAATCCTTAAATCAAATCACCAGTAACAATTTGGCTGAAATGAGAACCAAATCCGGCTATTTCTAGCTGTCACAATTTGCAGAGACCGGTGTGCAAGCTAGCCACCAAGTGTGACTTTCTGGTGTTTTGAAAGAGCTCTGACAAGCTGGCATCTGCACCAGCTCCCAAATAGCCACTGCTGATCTCACGGGAAAGCAGAAGCAGCTGCCTGCCCCGACAGCCCGGGATGTGTGTGTGGGGGGGGACCCTGCACATATCCGGGGTGTCAGTTCCTCCTTGCTCAAGGGGCAAAGGAGGAGGAAACAGCGCTCGTGGCTGGGCCAAAAAAAGAAACGCAGATGGCAAGCAGGAACAATTCTTCAGCTTTTCTGGAAAGCACATGACAGGTATATTTTTAAATTAAAAAAAAACGGGGGGGGGAGAGTTCCCCAAAGTCAGTAGCCCTCCCCTGAAAGATGCCAAATCTTAGGGTCATTTCCTTTATATGAAATGATGTAGTCTTTGCATAGATCATTCTATCAGTCATTATTATTTGCATATGATGTCTTCCTGCAGGGCTGGGGTGTGGCTCAAGTGGTGGAACACCTGCCTAGCAAGCTCAAGGTCTCGAGTTCAATCCCCAGGATTGCCAACCTCTCTCAAACCATCCTCTTGTCTACTTTGAGTTATCTCTAGATGATTTATAATGCCTAACTCAATGCAAATGATATGTTAATAGTTGTTATACTGCATCGTGTGGGGAATAATGGTCAAGAGCGATGTGAAAGGCCCTAGGTTCTATTCCTAGCACAGCATAAAACGAACGAATGAATGAATAGAAAAAATAAAGAAAAAAAGTTGGTATGTGTTGATATTCTTCATTAAGGATGAATAATTATTATTTTTGTATGTTAGAGTCCTGGGGCTCAAACTCAGGGCCTTGTTCTCTTTCTTGGCTTATGTGCTCATGGCTGGTGCTCTACTACTTGAGCCATACCTCCAGCCTTGATTTTTGCTGGTTACTTGGAGATGGAATTTCACAGATTTTTCTTCTGCCTGGTCTGGCTTCAAACTACCCCTCCTCCAGATCTCAGCCTCCTGAGTAGCTAGGATTACAGGTATGAGCCACGGATGCCTGGTTTGGATACATTTTTTTTTTTTGGGTCCGGTCGTGGGGCCTGAACTCTGGGCCTGAGCACTGTCCCTCAACTCTCCAGCTCAAGGCTAGCGCTCTACCACTTGAGCCACAGTGCCACTTCTGGCTTTTTTTTTCTTTTTGCTTATGTGGTGCTGGGGAATCGAACCCAGGGCCTCATGCATGCAAGGCAGGTGCTCTACCACTGAGCCACCTTCCCAGCCCCTGGATACATTTTTTCCCTTAATATTTTTGATGTGCTGTTGGCTGACGCCCTGGATGTGAATGCTCAGGCATTTTTCCTTGGTCACTTTAACTTTACCTCTAGGCATTCTCAGGCCCCTCTCTGTAAAAAGGTTTGTGCCCAGCCCGCCCGAGTCACTGCAGCGCCCTCCCGTGCACACACGCGTATCCTGGGCACAGACTTGAGTGAAGGGGGCACCTGGCAGCTGTCCAGCTGCGTCCTCAGCTTCTCAATACCCTCCACCATCTCCTCCTGCTTGAAGCTGCTGGGTGGTGTCTCCTGCAGGCTCCACTTTCTCTGTTGGAAGCTGAGGCTGTCCTCGGTGATCTGCATGATCTTCTCCATCAGCTGGGGAGAAGAAAGGGAGGGAGAGAGGTGCTCACAGCACAGTGCTCTGGGACACAAGGATCAGAGGGCTGACATGCACGCTCCCAGCTCAGCACAGCGTGAGGAAGGTCCCAGCATAAAAGAGAAGCTTGTTTCTGTCACCAGAACACAATGTGGTCCAGGATTAGAGGTTATTCCTAGGTGTCAAAGGCCTCTATTGTTGCTCTGAGTTTGTTCCAGATCTTTCTGTATTCATAGAGGGGACTCATGACACACAGTCCCCAATGCTCTGGGTGCCTAAGCAGGTCAAGTTCTCCTGTCCCAGGCAAGAGCATCCGTGTGTGTGTGTGTGTGTGTGTGTGTGTGTGTGTGTGTGTGTGTGTGTGTGTGTGTGTTACTTTGTTTTGTGTTGGTACTGGCACTTGAACTCAGTGATGTCCCTGAGCTTTTATACTCAAGGTTGGTGCTGTGCCACTTGACCCACAGTTCCACTTCTGGTTTTCTGCTGGTTAAATGGAGATAAGAGTCTCATGGACTTTCCTGGCCAGGCTGGCTTTGAATTGTGATCCTCAGATCTCAGCCTCCTGAGTAGCTAGGATTATAGGTGTGAGCCACCAGTGCCTGGCATTTTCCCCTTCCTCTGTGGAAAGAACCCACAGACTAAGATGAGGTGATCCCTTAGCTCACAACAGTGGAACTTCAGCATTGTGTGTGTGTGTGTGCACACACACACACATGTGCATGCATGTGCGTGGTGACCAGCAATGGAACCTGATGGCCAAAATAGATTTGTACAACAACGCTCCATGCCAGTTTAACTGGCTTTTTGCTTCAAAAGCCAGGAAATCCCGTCAAATCAAAACAAGTCTTGATGGTGTGGCAACAGTGTGAGAAAATATGAGCAAGCAGCACAAACAGAAGCATATGGTCCGGGGTCTGGCACGCAGATCCGGGGAAGGCACCGGAGGCTGGGGGGAGTCTCGCTAACCTGCTGGTCGGTGATGGGCTTGTCCTGGAACGGCTTCGTGCGCCCGAAGATGGCTTTGATGACCTGGGTTCGGAAGTGCTCCAGCTGTGGCACAAAGGGAGAGCCGAGGGTTGGGGGTGGGGGAGCTTTGGGCAGAGGCAAGGCTGGGGGTGGCATGTGCACCCTGGGGTGCAGGAAAGCCCCTCAGAAGGGTCTGCACACATGGACGGCCACCCAGTGTTATGCAAAGTGCAGAGAAAGTGCCCTGCCATGGAAGGAAAGAAAGCAGTCAGCTCTGTGTGTGCCTCAGGCAGGCTCGTGGGAGCCCCGTCCAGGCGCATGGCCTGCGGGCTTTCCGTGGCGTCGCTAACGCCCATTTTCCAATGGGAAGTCTGGCCCTGAGTGCAACTCTTTGATTGGTAGGTTGGCACCGGACTGTGAAGTGCCTACGGCAGCTGTCATCAGCCATGGGAGAGGTGTGTGTCTTCAGGCTGTCCCCGCCTTCCACCCTCAGCGGCCCTGAGATGACCCACGGCGCTCCCTCCATCTCCCTGGAGCCCAGCCCGGTGCCTGGGCTGCAGTCAGCACGCAGAATTGGGTGCTGAGGCCGAGGGTCTGGGCTTCAGTTCCCGCAGCGGTGCCCCGTGCCCCTGTGTGTGGTTGGAACCCCAGGGAAGGTTGGCACAATCACAACACCTGGGGTGAGTAGTGGGGTGGGGGTGGGGGCAGGCTCCATCAGAAGGTACTGGAAAAGAAGCTGGGCTGCCTCTGGGGTTTGCCCACATAGCTGCCTCTGGCCTGCATTTGTGGTCTATTAGAAAAATGTCATCATTAAAGATACAGAGCCCAGAGGCACCCAAAGGGCTACTGAGTCCCTGTGAAAGCCAAAGGGTCCCAGGACCCAGGAGGTCACAGCACACGGGGGTTCTAGGAAGCCAAAGGCACCACTGAGGTCAGCGAGCCAGCAGGCCTGGGGACACGAGGCCTCCAAGCTGCCCTCTGGTCACAGGGCCCAGGGGGGTCATCTAGGCTCTCTGTCCTGCAGGGCTGGGTGCTGCAGGAGGTGCAGGGGAGGGGTGGCAGCGGGTGGGTCTGTTGAAGGGGCTCTAACACCTGTTCAAGAGACAGCACATGATTGTTTAATTTGTGTGGGCCCCTGGGAATCTGAGCAAGGACAAGGCCTTGCTAGTGCTTGGACAGCAGCAAATGAGGACAGGATGGTGTGGAAGGGTCCTTGAAGAACGTTGCTTCTTTTTTTTTTAATGAATACTGGGATTTGAACTCAGGGCCTTTGCATTTGCGTGGCGGGTGCTCTACCACTTGAGTTATGCCTCCAGCCCTCAACTGTGGTTCTGATGACTCTTTTGAGAATCTGATGAGTGGCATGGTGAACTCTTCCCTCAGAAACAGAAGCTCTCATGCACATATTCTCTCTGTCTCTGTCTGTCTGTCTGTCTGCCTGTCTGTCTGTCTGTCTGTCTGTCTCTCTCTCTCTCTCTCTCTCTCTCACACACACACACACACACACACACACAGGTGTTGTCCTGAGGAGTGATGCTCCCTGAACTCGTCTCCCACCTGTGCTCCACCCCTCCCCGGAAGCTCTGGTGAAGCTCTGCCACCTCTCCTGGCTGTCCTGGCAGTCTCATATGGAAGGCTCAGGTCGAAGGTGGGCTTCCTGGTGGAGGAAAGCATGGACCAGGCTAAGTAGGCTCCTCTTCCTCTTGGGCCCCACCGGCCAGCTGGCGGCAGGAAACCCTGGGGGACATGGGACGTGCCTACCTGACCTACTGCCCTTTCCAAATTGGTTTTAATGAGGCCCTCTCGGTTCCCCATTTCTTGCAGTTGAAGCAATTTCTTTCTGGAATCTTCCTGAAGTTTCTCTTCCACCTGCAATGACGATGAAAGCATTCGCGGGCTGCTATGGTGGTCCGAGTGCATTCTAGGGACAACTCTGAGGAGGGATAATGGCTGTGTGTGTTTGTGGGGGGGGTCCCCCAGGGGTATGGGCAGTTGCAGCCCATGTGGCAGGAGCCACAAGATGAATATAGGTGGCAACAGTTCACAAGGCACCGTGCCCAGGGCCAGGCCCTGTGGCTAGGGCTGGCTATGGTTGGAGCACCCTGCCAACCAATCAGTTATTTAGTTTTAACAGCCCCTCGTGAGCACTGTGACCTCAGGAAAGTCTCTTCATGGGGCCTTGCCTGATGGGATGCGAGCACTGGCAGAGTCATAGGGGTGAAGGGTGTTTGGTGGCTGGGGCTGGCTGTCACCTCTAAAAGGTAGGTGGGAGTGTCTACAGGCAGGGGAGGTGGGACCTGCACATGGGGGTGTATGGGGGGAACTCGGTAAGTGGCACTATTGGGGACACTGTTCTATTTGTTGTCACCATGTGTAGTGCACTCACAGTTGGAAACGGCTCTAGGACACCTGCTAAGCAATGGCTACTGCAAATTGCAAGGTGTGTAAATGGGGAAAAAGCAGCTGCAGTGGGGGGTGGGGTGGGGGGGGAAGCAACGTTATGGGGCTTGAAGGACTGGCTGCTTATTCTACTTGCTTGGGTAGCAGCAGGACAACTCTGTAAAGCTAAGAGTGTTCAATGCTACCCTCTGCTGGCCATGATGAGACCCTGCAGCCTCTGCATTCACTTAAAAATTTGGAGCCAGTAATGGGGCTTGAATTCAGGGCGTTAAAATCAGGGCGTTAAGCTATTGCTTATCTTGCCGTTCTCCTCCCCTGCCCCCATGCACACACAAGGCTGGTACTCTACCACTTGAGCTATTCATCCACTTCTGGATTTTTGCTGGGTCACTGGATATAAGAGTCTCACAGATTTTCCTGCCTGGGCTGACCTTGCACTGCAATCCTCAGATTGTCTCCTGCGTAGCTAGGATTATAGGTATGAACCACTAGCACCCAGCTTCTGTTTACTTTTTTGTTGTTGTAGTTGGTTGTGCGGCTTGAACTTAGGGCCTGGGTGCTGATCCTGAGTCTCTTTGCGCTCACGGCTAGCAGTCTACCAATTGAGCCATAGATCTACTTCCAGTTTTTGAGTGGTTAATCAGAGATAAAGGTTTCATGGAGACTTTCCTGCCAGGGCCCACTTTGAATCCTCAGATCTCAGCCTCCTGAGTAGCTAGGATTACAGGCGTGAGACATGGGTACCCAGCTTCTGTTTACTTTTGAATGAAAATTACTTAAGCACCTGGGGAACTAGGGCTCCCCTGGAATTGAGGAAAGTTCACCTGAGTGAAAAGATTATGAGGCTGCAGAGGGGCCCCACCGAGGTAACAAAACACCCAGACAAGCCCTTTAGAGCTTTCCTCTGCACAGTTCAGGACCTGGTGCCTGGAGAGCGGCGCCCCCTGCAGGGCCACCCACCTCTCTGAGATGCAGCCCCAAGTCCAGGCTCACCCTGGCTCCTACTGCCCCACGTGTTTACAGAGCTGTGCAAACAGAGCCCATCCTCTGTCTTTGGCTTCCCCGTGTGCTCCTCCTCTGAAAAGGGGTCTCCCCGAATCCCAACGCCAAGCCCCAGAACTGCCGTCAGCAGCTTCCCTGCTTCCGCTCTGCTGCCCAGCCTCACCGTGCCCATCCATCCTCTTCCTCTCAACCGGGCTCCAAGTGGCCCTTATCAGTGCGCTCAGTCCTCAGAGATTTGTGAGTTCCTACCCTGTTTACCCTCTGGACCGTGATATAGGGCCCCCTGCTGCCGGTATATCCCCTTCTGGAATGTTCTTCATGATACTGTGAGAGTCACCAAGCTGTCAGCAACACCATTGGTGGTGAGGTCTCCTCAGATGAGCACTGTCTGTGTCTGACCAATGTGGCTAGGAAGTCCAGGGGTCTAAACAAAGCTTCTCGCTTAGTGAAGGCATTACAATTTTACATTTTATTTGAAGTAAGTCTTTTCAGATATTTTACATTTTATCATTTACTTAGTTTTAAATAATCTCAGTACCCTGCCTACATTGTGGCAGCACTGGGCTTTAAACTCAAGGCCTTCTTGCTTACTAGGTAGATGTCTACCACTTGAGCCATACTTCCAGATATAAAATTAAGTTACAAAGATAAAACTGTAGAGGAGCTAAAATTTAAATTGTACTTAAATTCAACGTTAGCATTTACATGGGGCTACCAGCTGTGCCACAGGGGCAAGTCAGAGAGACTTGGCTTCTAGTCCTGGCCGTCTGGCCCTGAGCCCTCACCTCACCGCTCCCTTGGCTGTGAGACAGATTGCTGAGATAACGTGTGGCTCTCTAATAAATAACAACCCCAGTCCTATCACTGATGTGAACTAAGGTCTCAGCATCTCTTGCTGCCTCCCCGGAACACATCAAAGATTCATGAAGCCCATATGAATTCTAAGTAAGATGAAAATGAATCCACATACATAAAAATCACCATAAGACTGCCTGAAGTCAAAGAAAGAGCAAATCTTAAAAGCAGCCTGAAAAAAGACATTTGTAAGAAGGTGGAGGAATGAGGCTGACAGCTAACTTCTTAGTGGAAGCCATGGAGGCTGGGAGATGATGATGTAATGAAAAAAGGATGTACTTGCCAATTAAAATTCAGTGATTAGCTAAAACATGTATCCAAGAATGGAGGTTAAAACAGGCCTTCATGCTGGGCACTAGTGGCTCACACCTGTAATCCCAGCTACTCAGGAGGATGAGATCTGAGGATCGCAATTCGAAGCCAGCCTGGGCAGGAAAGTGCATAAGACTCTATCACCAATTAACCACTAGTAAACCAGAAGTGGAGCTGTGGCTTAAAGTGGTAGAGCACTATCCTTGAGCAAAAGAGCTCAAGGACAATGCCTAGGCCCTGAGTTCAAGCCCCCTGGCCAACAACAACAACAACAATGGACCTTCACATTCATTTTTATTCTCTCTCTTTCACACATGCACGCACATACACACACACACAAATTCACCATCAGCAAAGCCACACTAAAGGAAACCCCTGAAGGATTTTCTCTAGGCAGAAGAAAATGATCCCCGGTGAATGATGACAGATGCAGAGCTCATTCATCTAATGTGTGGATAGAAACCTGGGCTATATGAAGACACTGGTCCTCACAACCTGTGGCTTCAATACAGAGAGAGGTATGGAGGATTCTGTGTCTGTGTGGATGGGTGGGGGGCAAGTGTAGTCTCCAGGTCACTGAGGCATCATAGAGGAGGCTGAAATCTTAGTGAACACTGCTTTGGTAAGTCAAAATGCATACCACACTCTTTAGAACCACCACTGAGAGAATAGTAAGAGAAAAAACCTTAATATATTCTTTCTTGGTAGTACTGCTAAGGAGGTGCTCTACCACTGAGCTATGCCTGCAGCCTTTTTTGTACTGGTTATTTCTGATATAGGGCCTGGCTTTCCACTGGGTATGCACCTGGACTGTGATCCACCTATTTTAGGCTTGAAACCATGTCTAGTGTCTTGCTGTTAAGATGGAGTCTCAAGGAATTTTTCTACCTGGACTAGCTCAGAACCATGATCCTCCCAATCTCATCCTTCCACACAGCTCAGGAGGACAAGTGTGATCCACTGTGCTCAAATATCAGCCGAGAAGGGGTCTTGAGAACTTCTCTGTGTGCTGCCTCAAACTGTCATCCTTCTGATCTTAGCCTCCTAAGTAGCTAGGCTGACAGTTGGAAGCCAATGGTACCAGGTTAAGTATTGGATTTTGATAGTTGAATGAATACTATTTTTCATTGTTCATAAATAGTAAAAGAGTGAAAAATCTCCAAGTTAATATAGGAAAAAATGAAACGTTAAAAACTTATCAGCTCAAAGGAAGGCAAGAATGGAGAGGAGGAAGAATAGCTGGCACTAAGGAAAAAGATCAATTTAAGCCCAAACATAATAGGAATTACATTATCCACTAGGAGACTAAAAGACAAAGATCAGCAAACTGGATTTTATATGCTCTATCTTCCCCTAAAGCAGGATTGACAGGAAAAGTTGTGAACGTAATCAAAAGAAAGTTAGCATAGCTGATGAACAAGCTCGATCAATGACCCAGTGGATTGTTGATGGAAGAACACTATGAGATGACCATCTGGTGGTGGTCAGAAGTTTGCTTAAGTTTTGAGTATTACAATGGTCAATTTCCATGCACCTAGTAACTTAGCCTCAAAACACACAAAGCAAAAATTGGCAATATAAAAAAGAAAACATAAATTCCACAGTCAAGATGATATGTTTTATTTTTAAAGAAACACATCACTCTCACTGACTGACAGAACATGTAGACAAGAAAATAAATAAAGGAACCCATGTCTTGAACATTCCTGGGAAACCTGACCTCAAGGGCCCTGTGTAGAACACTACCTCTGAGACGATCAGATGAATATTCTTTCAAGGACATATGTGACCTCATGCAGGCCATTAGCAAGTCTCAACATCAAAGGATTGAAACCACACAGAAGCCGTTCTCTGGCCTCGGTGTGAAAAGCTATAAATCAATAACCAAAGGTTAATCAGAAAGTCTTCATACATTTAGAAATGTGTAAATAATTTTCAAAACAAACCATGAGCCAAAGAGAAAAAAACAAACACTGGTACCTGAAAAATACATTTATCTGAGTAATGATGAAAACACTCCATCCGAATACTTTGTAGAAGGCAGTTTAAGCCGTGTTTAGAGGAAAAGTAATAGCCAGGAAGCTATTCCATGTTAAACACACACACACACACACACACACACACACTATTCCATGTTAAACACACACACACACACACACACACACACACTCACAGGAGAAAGCAAGTCATTGAGAATGTAAGTACTTGGCTGGGTGAAGTTGATGAAGCCAGGGGTTGAATAGGTTTCAGATGCTCCCATTTCCAATTTTGTTTTCTTGAAAGGTTTTTTTTTTTAAAAAAAACTTGGGTCAGTTTTTTCTTGAGGAGCTGGGGTTTGAACTTGGGGATTCAGCCTATGAGATGGGCATTCTACTCCCTGAGTCTCTGTCAGCCTGGGATCGTTTCCTTTCTTGGTAAATTTTGCAAATATTCATTGAGGCATCTGTTAGTTTTTCTGATTCCTATCAGACTTTCAGCAGACTTAGCTTCGCCGTTGTGGACTTTCTGCCTTCATGTCTGTCAAGCCCGTCTTCTCGTAGAATAATCATATTTAAACTTTTTTTTTGATATTTGACTCTTCTCTCAATTTTTAGTCAATAAATATTAGTTTTTAAACTCAATCTGCTCTTTTGGTTGGTTTTATTTTGCTAACCCTACTTATGTCTGTTCAACTTCTGTAGGTTTAAATAATTATTGACAAGATGCAATTTGTCAGACAGGTCTTGTCTAATATGTATTTTAGCTTGTAAAGGTTTTTTTTTTTAAATTTTTCTTCAGTACTGACTTGTTTGAACTCAGATCTCTGGAACTGATCTTGGACTATGATTCTTCTACCTGTAACTCCTATGTAACTGGGATTACAGCTATGTGCCACCATGCATGGTTTATTTATTGAGATGAGGTCTCACTAGTTTTTGCCTGGGCTGGCTTGAAACCCTAATTTCAAATAGCTAGGATTACAGGCAGAGCCACTGCAACCTGGCTTTTGTTTATGAAGTGTTACTGGTTTTAGCTTAAAGTAATATTCTGACAGTTACACTAAGTAAGAACTGGAGAAAAATACTAGGCATTTGCGGGGTGGTGGTGGTGTAGATCATTCTTGAACAAGTCTAGACAGAATCCCTCTATCATTTGGATTTGTTCTTATTTCAGTGACAGCAATCTTGTCATCAAATAAAGCCAATGATTCAAATGGCGGATTATAGTTGTGCCTGACCTGCTCAGGACCCTTGTGTGCCTTTCAGTTTAGAACTTAAAAGAATCAGCCAAGTATTGGTGACTCACGCCTGTAACCTAGCTACTCAGGAGGCTGAGATCAGAGGATCACAGTTGGAAGCCGGCCCGGGCAGGAAAGTCTGTGAGGATTCTTATCTCCAATAAACAACTCAGAAAAAGTCAGAAGTGGCACTGTGGCTCAAGTGGTAGAGCACTGGCCTTGAGCAAAGAGAGGCTCAGGGATAGCATCTAGGCCCCGAGTTCAAGCCCCAGGACTGACAAAAGAAAAAAAGATTTTAAAAACACATCCAGCCCATCAGTACTCCTCAGTTGGTTACATTGGCAAAGACGTGACAGGACTTTCTGTGTCCCTGTGCTGTCCAGCGTGGCGGCTGCCAGCCACAGGTGGCTATGGAGCATGTGTACTGTGGCACTACTGGTTTCATTTAGTTAAAGTGACAGGTGCCCTGTGTGGCTGGTGCCCACTGGGCTGGCCAGCACAGGAACTGGAATCAACTGGAATCAGCGCTTCAAGTCTGGGCACTGGAGCTCTATCTCCCTATCCCCTGTCCGCGTGGCCTGGGGTAACTTCTTTACGAGCTCCAGAAGCTGTTTTCTCATCTATGAGAGGGGCAATACCAGTGTCCACCACAGAGGGCGCTGTGAGGACAGAGGGGATGCCGGCCTGGCTGGCCCTGCCTACCTTGCTCTTTTCACGGAGGGTCCTGGAGATTGTGTTCTGTTCATAACTGTTCTTCCTCAGCTCCTCTCTCAGCCTCCTTATTTCCTTCTCCATGTCTTGTATTTGCTGGAAAAGTTTGCACCAGAAAAGTCAACCCTGGAGCAGGGACAGCAGGAGCGCCCTCCAGGAACCAAAGGTCATGATCCTCTGAACCCATCCCGTCATGGGGCTCATTGAAGGGGAGACATGGCCTGCTACCAGCTCACTTAGCTCCTTCCTGGACAGAGCCGCGCAGGAGAGCCGACTTCCCCTCCCATTAAGGTGCTAACCATGCTGAAGGAAGGAAAATATTAATTTCTTCTTCTTCTTTTACTGGGACTTGAACTCAGGGCCTGAGTTTTTCATGCAAGGGTGGTACTCCATATCACTTGGGCCAAAGCTCCGCTTCTGGATCTTTGGTGGTTAGTTGCAGATAAGAGTCTCATAGACTTTTCTTTCTGGGAGGCCTTGAACCACAATCCTCTGATCTCAGTCTCATGAGTAGCTAAGCTTACAGGACTAAGCCACTGGGGCACAGTGGAAAATACTGTCTTTTTTTTTTTTTGCCAGTCCTGGAGCTTGAACTCAGGGCCTGGGCACTGTCCCTGACCTCGCTGTGTTAAAGGCTAGTACTCTATTACCTGAGCCACAGTGCCACTTCTGGCTTTGTCTCTTTATGTGGTACTGAGGAATCAAACCCAGGGCTTCAAGTGTGCTAGGCAAGCACTCTACCACTAAGCCACATTTCCAGCCCATGAAGGTCAGAATAAATCCTGGGATACTGGTGAAATCCCTTTTTTTGGGGTGGGGAGGGGATAGAGTTTTTGAGATAAACTGATATAAAAAAGGGCCAATTATGTAGAAGCCTAGAGCTGTCTTTTTTCCTCTTTGAGACAGAGAAGAATTGCCCTACATGAAGTGTTTTTTCTTGGTGGTCCGGGAATGGAGGGTGTAATGGACAGGGCTCAAGCAGTGGAGGAAACACATTTTAATAACTCTCCTCTTTCCATTGCTCTTATTATTTATTTGTTTTTGTTGGTCATGGGGGCTTGAACTCTGAGCCTGGGTGCTGTCCCTGAGCTCTTTAGCTCAAGGCTAGCACTCTACCACTTGAACCACAGCGCCACTTCTGGTTTTCTGGTGGTTAATTGGAGATAAGAGTTTCACGGACTTTCCTGCCTGGGTTGGCTTTGAACCGGGATCCTGAGATCTCAGCCTTTAGAGTAGCTAGGATTACAGGCATGAGCCACCAGTGCCCAGCTTTCTGCTCTTATTTTTATGGCTGTTTTCCAAACAGGGCAAATGCTAACTGGGCACTAGTGGCTCATGCCTATAATCCCAGCTATTCAGGAGGCTGAGATCTGAGAATCATAGTTTAAGGCCAGCCCAGGAAGAAAAGTCATCTCCAAGGAACCAGCAAAAAGCCAGAACTAGAGCTGTGGTTCAAATGATAGAGTACCAGCTGTGAGTGAAAAAAAAACTAAGGGACAGCATCATCTAGGCCTTGAGCTCAAGCTCAATACCAGCACACACACAAAAAACTAAATACATACATACATAAATAACACATGAGACAAATGCAAAACATTTTTTTCTTTTTTTGTGATTAGTATGCTATTGATGCATTTAAATAAAAATGCCTTTGGAAGAAGCTGTGTTAGCAACTTGGGCTTTGATCAAACTTGACAGGAGGATATACCCGGGCAATTGCAGGCCCAGGGTCAGAGTCAGAATGGGTTTCTAGAAGTATATGGTAGCCAGCTGGCCACTAGCCTGTCCCTGTCCCTGCTCGGCCCTAGGGCCAAGCCATGAGGAAAATGGAGCCAAGTTCCTGGAGCACCCTGGGAGAGCCATCCCCTGCTCCCAGCTCCTCCTCTTGTTGGGGCTTTGGACAGCAAGGGAGAATTCTAAGAGCTCTACAGAGCACACACACCCGGGGCCTTGTGATTTGGGCCAGGCTCCCACTGGGAACCCAGGGGCCATAGCCTCATTTTTCTGTGCACGCTTCTGAAGAAGGAAGTTCCACTTACATTTTTGCAGAGTTTTAACTCTTTCTCCTGGGCTTCATGGTGCTCCTTTTGGACCTCTTCCTTTCTTAACTTTTCTTTCAGATCTGTGCACTGTGGAGACAAAGGCCAGCAAGCTCCAGGTGCCATGCTGGCCGCCTTGGTGGGGGGCCAGGGCATTTCCTGCTGAACCATGCCAGTGGCACAGCCCGATTCCAAAGGCCAGACCAGCAGGCTGAGATCTGAGAATCCCAGTTCAGAGCCAACCCAGGCAGATAAAACCTGCAAAAACCTAGTAGTGGAGGTGTGGCTCAAGTGGTAAAGCACCAGCTGTGAGAGAAAAACTGAACAATGGCGCGAGGTCCTGAGTGCTGGCCCAGTGCTGGCACCGAAGCTCCTCCCGGGCGGCTGCTCCCGGGCGGACGGAAGGTGTGCAGGGCGGCACTCACGCGGGAGCCCAGCGCCTCCAGCTGCTGGTCCTTTTCCTTGTTCTTGCTTTTCAGCTGGTTGACCTCCTCCTTCAGCTGCTGAGTCTGCTCAGTTTTCGCCAACACGTCTTTTTGCAAAGATGTCACCATCTCTGCAACAACAGAGGGCCCACGATCACCAGGCAGTCGGGGAATGGTCACGGCTGTGCGGTCAGCCAGCTCGAGGGGACCCTGGCACTGAGGAATGGGGGCAGGGGGCAGCTGGCATCTACACGGTTCCCAGAAGCCAGAACGCAGCTGAAACCAACGGCCACTGAGTGGGCTGGTGCAGGTCTCAGGGAGTATCTGGAGGAACTGGGGTTGTTACCAGGGCTGGAAAAAGATGGGGGACCCTGTGACACACCCACACCATAGCCCAGCAGAGAGGGGTCCTGAGGAGGACCTGAGAGGGGGCTGTGGTGGGAAGTATGTCTTAGAGACTATTGATGGGGGACACAGGAGTCACAATGAGTGAACCCTGTTTCTACTACCTGTGAGCTCGGTGTACACAGAGTTTGTCACCTGGCACCTGGGCCTGATTCTGGATCACTCCCCGCAGTCTCTGCCTCCTGGCTACAAGGCCTTGGCCACCCTCCCCCCTCCCCAGCAGGCTGACCCTGTGGGAATGGTGGGGGAACTTGCTAGGCTAGGACACAAGAACTCTCAGGCAGGGGCAGGGAAAAGCTGGGCTGCTGAGGGGCTGAGGCCACGTGGGAGGCTCTGGACGGGGACCTTCAGCTGCTGCCCAAGGACATGCCAGGCCCTGGCCAATGTTGAGTGCCACCTTGGGCAGGCCCTGTGTCATGGCTCCGTCACCCCCCCCCATTCCTGAACCCTACAAACTGGGCCAGGTAATGCGTGTATCTGTTGTTTTATCCACTGAATGCTTGGGCTAGACCAACAAGCAATGCGGGGGGAGGGGAGGACACAGACACACAGTGGCCCAAGTTGTGTCACATAGCTCTTTTCTGGGAAGAACGTTTGTGTCTAAGTTGTTGGTAAGTGTCTCCCGGGCATGTCTCTGGGACAAGGGACAGGCAGCATGGTCAGAATCCCACTGTGAGAATGAACTGCACCTCAGGACATGGTGCCCTGGGCATGTGTGCTGGGGCCTGATGGCCAATTGACATATCAGATTCACAGACGGTGCTGTGTGCAAAGATCCTTGAGGAACTTAGAGGCTGTGATCGGAAGTTGATTGGTGATGTCTGTCCGGGCCAGGGGAATGGGTGACAGAGTAAGCCCAGTCCCACAAGCACTCACCGGATGAGACGGCATTGTCCTTCTTCAAGTTCTCACCCTCATTCTTCAGGGAGGTGATTTCTGTGTTCCGTTCCAACAAGGTTTGGCACAGCACCTCGCTGTAGCCTTTTTGAAGGGCATTGATCTGAAGGAACAGGCAGTACAGTGTCAGAGGGTGCTGGCCCAGACACACGGAGCAGGGCAGAAGTCTCAGGGATGGCTTCAGGGGGAGGGAAGCCCAGCTCTGGAAGCCTCGGGAGTGGAGGGGCCAGGGAAGGCCTGCTCCTCAGCAACACATCACATGCCACCGGTGTGACATGCACTTTGGGCTTACCAAGGTTCAGGCTCGGCTGCGTGGGATCCCCCATCCTGTTCCTGCTTTTCAGGAGAGGAAACCAAGGCTCCAAGGGGCGGGTCACTTGCTTAGGCCTCAGGGGAGGTCTGGGCAGTCTGGGCCCAGCACTGTAAGCTGGGGCCTAGGACACAGAGCCACCACCTTCAGCGGGTGGACCTCCCCTCTTAGGAAAGTGTTCTAGTAAGTTAATACACATAAGTGTGCTTGGACCATGCATGGCACGGGTGTACAGAACCATGTGTGCTAGCTGTGGCTTCTCCTGTCTGCCATGGGGCAGGAAGGCAGGTGGAGCCCACCTAACAGAGTTATGTGTGATTGTGAGGAGGGGAGGCCTGGTGGGGGCCTGAAGACCACAGGGGATGCAGGGAGGCACAGGGGACTCAGGGAGGGCCCGGGGCCTGGCCATGACATGGCCTTGCCACAAGATGGCGCTCACAATCCTTGTCCTCCGCCTCTGTCCCCGGGCTGTGATAATTACTCTGCATCCACAGGAGCATCAACGTTTCATAGTCTGCATGGCTCATTTCATGGCCATTGCAGTTTAGATTCTGTGACTCACTGGGGGCCGGGGGAGGGGGGAGGGGGGACACTCTCTTTTCCCTTGAGGCGTCTGATTTACCTTAGGAGGGGTGAATGTTGGCAGGGGGGGACACAGCTCAGTCACCCCACTTCCTCCTCAGGGCTACTCTTTCCCATGTTTGTGTTTTGAAAACACTGAATAAAAAACAAAAAGAGCTGGGTGCCAGTGGCTCACACCTGTAATCCTAGCTACTCAGGTGGGTGAGATCTGAGGATCATGGTTCAAAGCCAGCCTGGGCAGGAAAGACCGTGAGACTCTTATCTCCAATAAACCACCAGAAAACCAGAAGTGGTGCTGAAGAGCTGAGGGACAGTGCCCAGGCCCAGAGTCCAAGCCCCACGACTGACAAATAAATAAATAATAAAAAACCCAAAAACCTAAAGCAAAAAACTAACAAACAACAATAAAAACCCACAAAAACAAAAGCCTGACCTTTTCCAGTTTTTTTTTTAAAGAAGAAATAGACTATCCCATAGAAGACACTCAGAATAAAAACTTGTTTCTAGTTCCTCACTCTATGCCTCTATTTGTAGGAAGACAAACTCACCCAAGGGGAAAAATGGCTCCCAAAGATTCCAGTGCTGTGTGTGACAGATATGAAACAATTCAACCTAAGTAGCTTTCGGAGCGTTAGAGTTCAGGCTGCAGGGAAGCACACTTCTCAAACTTTGGGATTATTTTACTATCAAAATAAATGTCCAGATTGTCTCTAACTGGCATACCTACCAAGATGTTCTATTATTGCAAAAATATGGGCATTGTAATCATAAGAAATTTCACAGTCCCAGGAAAAGCGAGAGCCTAAGGTTAAAATCTGCTGCTAAGTTAGCAATGGTGCGGGCAGTGTGGACAGAGTTTCTCCATTACAGTGGGTGATTCTGTTTTTGTTTTTGTTTTGTTTTTAAATACTATACTGGGTTTGAACTCAGAGCCTGGGCCTATCCCTTGTCTTTTTCACTCAAGGGTGGTGCTCCACTACTTGATCCACACCTGGCTTTTTGTAGATTAATTGGAGATAAAAGTCTCATAGCCTTTTCTGCCCTAGCTGGCTTTGAACTGTGATCTCAGCCTCCTGAGTAGCAAGAATTAGCCACTGCTGCTCAAAGATTCTTGATGATGAGTCATATCACATGTATTTTAGGGAAATGGGAGAACATAGAAATTAATCAGAACACAGAGTCAGCCCACCACATGGCTGGCACTTCTGACTCCATGTTCTGCTGGTGATAGAATCTTTAAGAACCTTAACTATAAACCGTGGACTTGAATTTAATTCATTTGCATCCTTTAGTGCAGAGACATCCTGTTAGGAAGCATTTTCCTTTAGTTGTAAGTAAAGTTCCAGGTGAGCTGGTACAGGGGCTCGTGTCTGTCATACCAGCTTCCTGAGAGGCAGAGCTCAGGAAGATCAAGGTTCCAGGCCAGCCTGGGACGTAAAGTCTAGGACACTCCATCTCAACAGAACAAGATGGGATATCGGCGGTGTCTGCCATCTAGCTACATCTGTAGGCAGATGGACGACTAGGTGCGAGCCCAGGTAAAAAGTGAGATCCTATCTCAAAAAATAACTAGTGCAGAAAGAGCTAGAGGAAGAGTGCCTGCTCAGCAATACGAGGCTGTGAGTTCAGCACTGCCACGAAAACAAAACCCAAAAGAGTCACGGTAGAAGGTGTAGGTAACAGTAAGTAAAACAGAGTGCTAATTTCTAGAAAATTCTTTGCTGGAAAAAAACCAAGTGTTCTTTAAAAAAATAAAAGGGTTTCAAGAAAGGTCATTCCCATGAGTCTCGAAGAAAGTCATCCCTTTGTCTAAAAGTCAGAGATGCACTGTTCACTTATTCTGTTTCGGTCCAGTGGGGCGGGGGTCAGTGAGCCCCTGCAACAAAATTACTGAGATAATCAACTTAAAAAGAGGAAAGGTTTCTCCTGGCTCTCAGCTTCCCAGGTTCCAGCCTATACTGAGTTGACCCGATGGCTTTGGGCCTGCGGAGAAGGGGACAGGTGTGATAGAGGAAGCGGCTGCCTCGTGGTAGACAGGATACTAAGAGCCAGAGCAGGGGTCGGGGCCCCCAGTCTCTTTCAATGTCCCCAGTGACCTAACTTCCTTCTGCTAAGCCCCCTCCTCTTAGAGGGCAACACTTCCTAATAGTGTGCTGGGCTGGTGAACCAACCCCCCGCCTCCCGGCATATTGACAACATAAGCTGGGGCAGAACGGGGGCGGGCGGAGGCTGGTCATGTCTGCCTTCTGCCTTGCTCCCTGATCTGTTCTCAGAGCCTGGAGGACAGGAGGGCAATGAGAGCCATGAGGATGAACAAATGAATGGACAAATGAAGGCATGACAGACACAAACTGGGTGCTGGTGGCTCATGGCTGTAATCCCAGCTCCTTAGAAGGCTGAGATCTGAGAATCTCGTTTCCAGGCCAGGCTGGATGGGAAAAATCTGTGACACTCATTATCTCCAGTGAACCAGCAAAAAATGGAAAATGGAGCTGTGTGTGGCTCAAGTGGTAGAGTGACAACCTTCAGTTAAACAATAACAACAACCCAGGCCCTGAGTTCAAACTCTAACGCAAGCACAAAAAACAAATCCAAAACAAAGCAGAATGTGGCTCACTGCATGGCCCCCTTGCCAGTGGGGCTGAGATCTGAGCCCAGGCCGGGCCCAGCTCTGCAGGGGGCAGCAGAGCCTACTGTGCTTTCCAGGCACACACCCATGGCCAAGCGTAACTGACAGATTAGACAGGGGTGAGAGATTAATAACAGTGGACCGCAAACTAGGACAATTGTAGTGACGCTGCTCATTTCTGGAATTCTTTTTTTTTGGTCGGTTGTGGGGCTTGAACTCTGGGCTTGGGCACTGTCCCTCAGCTCTTTAGCTCAAGGGAAGCGCTCTACCACTTGAGCCACAGCGCCACTTCCGGTTTTCTAGTGGTTTATTAGAGATAAGAGTCTCACGGACTTTCCTTGCCCGTGCTGGCTTTGAACCGTGATCCTCAAATCTCAGCCTCCTGAGTAGCTAGGATTACAGGCGTGAGCCACCGGAGCCCAGCTATCTGGAATATTCTTTACAAGCATTTAGGGACTTTGGTTGACTAAGAAAAGGGCCTGGCTGTACCCAGAGCTCTGAAGGGAAACGGACCATTTCTTGCCCAGGTAGACTGGCCTGGCCTCACCGTGCAGAAGCCATGCCTTTCTTTGGGGTGTTGTTTTCAGAACTTCCTTCCTCAGTACCCCCTCTCCCTCTGCCCAGGGCTTGAACTTAGAGTCTGTCTAGCCCAGCTCTGCTTGCTCTCAGAAGATGCTCTACCACTTGGGCCATGCCTTCAGCTGGCCATGCCAGCTTTAGTTGGCATTGAAGTCTTGGGAACTTTTCTGCTCTCTCTGGCTTTGTACCTCTATCCTCTAGGCCTCAGTCTCCTGAGGAGCTGAGATTACAGGCATGAGCCACTGGCACATAGCTTTGCAACAGTGCTTCGTGAGCTGGGGAGAGAAGGGACAGGCCAGAAGCAGGGCCAGAGAGCAGAGCCCCAGGCTGGTCCCTGGTCAGGCAGCCCCGTGCATCAAGGCCAACAACAACTGGCTGCTAACAGCCCATTTCTTTTCTCATCAGTGTTGCTGAGATATAACTTATGCACAACATTTACAGCCACAGCTAGGCGAGGTGGCACGTGCCTGTAATCCCAGCACTTCAGGGCTGAGGCTGGGTGATCTTAGGCTTGAGGCCTTTCTGGGCTGCAGAGCTCCACTCTGTCTCAAAAAACAACAAACAAGCAGACAAAAATGCTGAGAGTGACATCGACAACCACAGCAACAAGCTCCAGGTCTAAGCACAGTGGTTCCACCTGGGGCCCTAGAAGCTGGGAGGATGAGATCCAGAGGACGGCAGTTTGAGGCCAGCCCTGAGGTGGGGGTTGTAGCAAGACCCCATCTCAATAAATAAACTGGTTGTGGTAGTGCGTGCCTGTCATCCCAGCTATGTGGGAAGCATAAGTAGGAGGATCCATCCAGGCCAGCCTGGGTAAAAAAATGAGACCCTAACTTGAAAAATAACTGAAAAGCAGAAGAAAGGGCTGGATGTTTTGCTCAAGTGCTACAGCAACTAACTAGCAAGCTTAACGCCTGGAATTCAAACCTCAGTCCTGCTTTGAACACACACACACACACACACACACACACACACACACACACTCTCTCTCTCTCTCTCTCTCAGTGGCCATTTTTCTTTTTAACTGAAAGGAATCTGGCTGCAGTGTCCAGGCTCCTGGGTCAACCTCGACCTGGCTGGAAAGTTTTATCTCACGGAATTCCCATAGGGGAGCTGCCTTCAGGGTTTGGTTAGAAATCTCCATGTCTGGGAGTGGGAGGGTCTAGGGACTCCTCTCTCTGATAGCTAACTGGAAACAGGAAGTGGAGTGACTGTGTGGGGTGAGTAGTGGGCAGACTCCAAGTCCCAGTGCCCTGCTGTGCAAGGTCTAGGCAGAGTCTGGGTGTCTCTGGTCTCCAGGTGCCCCCTGATGGAGCCGTCCCCGAGTCCTACCTGGCTTTTCAGGTTCTGGATCTCACTCTGGCTGAGGTCAGTGGCCTCGCTGGGCCCAGGGCCCTTGCTGGGTGCACCCTGCTCGTTCAGCATGCAGGCAGTCGACTCGGACAGCCGGTAGCTCAGGTCGGACACCTCGTGCTGCAGGTTCATGATCACCGTGTCTTTGTATTTGGACTCGACTTCGAAATCTGAGAGCCGGTTCACCTCTCTGCCCAGGAGCAGGATGATCTCGTCCTGTGGGGAGACCCGGGGTCACTCGGGGCCTCCCTGAGCCAGGGCCAGCAGAGGGGTGGGGTGGGGGCTGTGAGCTGTCCCCACCACGGGGAAAGCCTCAGAGATTGGGGTTCAGTTCCAATCCACACAACCCCAGAGGAAGGGATGGAAGCTCCCAGGAGCCCTGAGATTCCACTTGGAGGTTGAGAACAGTGAAATCTTTGTAGGAACTACTGACTGGGCCTCGGGTCATTGGGAAAATGGCCTTTGTTTGATCAGTCTGCAGCCAGGGCTATGACTTTCCCCCGCCTCCGGTGCTCTGTGCCTCCTTGGGCTGTGCACACAGAGACACCTTCCTGCAAGATCAGTGGAGATTTATTTGTGGGGATTCATGGAAGCCTTGGGGTCTCTGTCCCCACCCCCTCCTCCCCTGGTACAATGAAGCCAGCCTCAGCCCGCCTCATGAGAAGCACTGTGACTAAGAACTTAGGGCTCCAAAAAGGGGGAGAACTCCCCAAACTTCTCACCAGAAGTCATCAAATCACATATCAGAAAGACTGGGAAGCCAGGCGCCAGTGGCTCATACCTGTAATCCTAGCTACTCAGGAGGCTGAGATCTGAGGATCATGGTTCGAAGCCAGCCTGGGCAGGAAAGTCCCTGAAACTCTTTTTTTTTGGGGGGGGTCTGGTCATGGGGCCTGAACTCTGGCCTGGGCGCTGTCCCTCAGCTCTTCAGCTCAAGGCTAGTGCTCTACCACTTGAGCCACAGCGCCACTTCCGGCTTTTTTCTTTTTGCTTATGTGGTGCTGAGGAATCAAACCCAGGGCCTCGTGCATGCAAGGCAAGCGCTCTACCACTGAGCCACCTTCCCAGCCCCTCTGTGAAACTCTTATCTCCAATTAATCACTAGAAAACTGGAAGTAGCACTGTGGTTCAAGTGGTAGAGTGCTAGCCTTGAGCTGAAGAGTGAGGGACAGTGTTCAGGACTAGAGTTCAAGCCCCAGGACCACCCCCCTCCCACACACACAAAGGCTTGGAAAAAAAATCCAATTCATTGAGTGTGTGTGTGTGTGTGTGTGCTGGTCCTGAGGCTTGAACCCTGAGAGAGAGAGAGAGAGAGAGAGTGTGTGTGTGTGTGTGTGTGTGTGTGTATGCTGGTCCTGAGGCTTGAACCCTGAGCCTAGGTGCTATCCCCGAGCTTTTTTTGCTCAAGGCTAGTGCTCTATCACTTGACTCACAGTTCTACTGCTGGCCTTTTGGTAGTTAATTAGAGATAAGTCTCAGAGATTTTCCTGCCCAGGCTGGCTCTGAATTGTGATCCTCAGCTCTCAGCCTCCTGAGTAATTAGGATTATAGATGTGAGCCACCAGTGCCCGGCTTGATTCATTTTTTTTAAAGGGCCCTCACTCTTCTAGCCCCTTTCCATGGTCCAGATTCCAGCTCAGCATGTGGCTTGTTGAGCTCTGAAGGGGCCTCAGACCCAGGAGGGATGGGACAGGGTATGAGGGGGCCCCTCTGGCCTGGCCAGCACCTGCTCTTTCTCCGGGCTCTTGGGAACACCTGTGGCAGAAGTTGGAGGGATAATGGCTGTAGATCTGGGTTTTCAGGGAGCCCCCTGTGTCATACAAAGCTACCCAGTATATGCTCAGTGGGTCCTCTGTCATTATACAATGCATAGCTGACATTTGTTGAGCACTGGCTATGTGCCAGGCTCTGTGCTGGGCACTGGAGTGTAGGATCTTAAGGTAAGACCTGAATGGATGGAAGAGTGAAAACTTATTTACATAGACAGGACTTTCCTGAATAGAACTCCAATACTCAGAAATAAGAGCAAGGATCGCATCAAATTAGAAACAGATGGAACCAACCAACCTGCACAGCAAAGGCAAGGGTCACCAGGCTGAAGTCCCGGCTCACAGAATGGGAGAAAATCTTTGCCAGCTGTACATCTGATGAGAGAGAAATAACCAGGACCTACAGGGAGCTCAAAAAACTCAACTCTCAAAGAAACAACCACCCAATTGATAGAGGAACAAATGAATGCAATGGATAATTCCTGAAAGTACAAACGGCCAGCAAATACATAAGGGATATTCAACATGAAAAAAATATGGATCAAATGACTCTGAGATGCCATTTCACCCCAGTAAAATTGGCCATCACCAGGGACACAGACAAGCACGCATACTGACAAGCAAAAGGAGCCACCCTGCACTGTGGGTGGGAATGCAAACCAGTGCCACAGCTATGCAAGTCAGCACGGAGCTTCCTCAAAACACGAAAAACAGAACTAGCTTTGGATCCAGTGAGCATCGGGTATTTACCCAAATGAATCTAAGGTATGGAAATGACCTCACCCCCCCAAAAAAAACACACAACAACAACAACAAACAAACCTAAGAATAAGCATAACCAAGAAGGCAAAAGGCCATAATAAAAACTATAAAACCATGAAGAAAGACTCTGAAGACAACACAAGAAGATGGAAAGACTGCTCATGCTCATGGATTGGCCATGTCATAACACCACCATACTGCCAGAAGCAATCTACAAATCCACATTCAGTGCAGCACCCACAGAAACCCCAACATCCTTCACAGCATGGCTAGAAATCAATCCTAAAATTCATATGGCGGCATGAGAGACCTCACAGAGCCAAAGGGATCCTGAGCAGAGCGCACCACCATGCCATGATACCTGGCTTCAAATTATACTCCTACCAAGCCGCAGGGACAAAAATAGCACAGTGCTGACATAAAAGAGACTCACACACCAAAGGAACACATGGAAGGACCCAGAAAGAAATCTGTGCACTGACAGCTGGAGCCCAAAATGTACCTTAGAGAAAAGATAGCCTCTTCAGTAAATGGAACTTGGACAACTGGATATCCACATGCAGAAGACTGAACCCAGATCTCTTTTCTTCTTTCTCTCTCTCTCTCCCTCCCACCATCCCTCCCTCTTCCCTGTACTAATGTCAATTCAAAGCAGAACAAGGTCTTAAAAGTTAAGAGCCGATGCCTTCCTGATGGAGCCTTCCTACCCCATCCATGTGGCCTTGTGGGATGACAATCAGGCACCATGCCCCTTCCTGTCCTGCCTCCCCATGCCTGGATACCCAGGCTGTCCAGTCAAATTTCCTCAGATGTTCCAAGAGGAAAGAAAGTCTTCCTTCCTTTCAGAGTTGACAAAGGATTCTAAGAGGAAGAGTGTCCTTTTCCTTCCTGCTTGAACTGGTCAATAACCCTGTTTTCTGGCCTACAAAAGCAGCCCAACTGGACAAAAGCCATTTGTTCTGTGCCACAGGCACAGAACAGAGTCTAGCACACAGTAGGTGTAACCGTGCTTGCAGTTGCTGTTGTGTGAGACATGAGTTCAGGTGAGATGAGCAGCAGTAAGTCCCTCTGTGGCTGATGGGTGCTGGGCCCTGTCCTTCTCCCCCAAGACCCCTCACCTTTTCCTGCTGGCTCAGCTCCGGGTCCATAAAGATCTCTGTGGGAGGAATAGGCCCAGGGGGCCCTTCAGTCACTGTTTCTTCCGACAGCTCCACCGCGCTGGCCCACACTTGGACAAATGAGTGACAGAGGACACAAAGGCTCAGTGAGTGCTGGGAAGCTTGAGGGCTCTTTGCAGACCTGAGCGCTGAGGGCGGGTGGGGGGAACACTGAAAAGCAGCAATGGCTGCAGGAGGCCCAGGCGTGGAGGGGCTGCCTTACTCCTGTCCCCAGCACTAACTGACCCTTTGCTCTGTCCTATCCCCAGGCCACAGACAGACCTTGGTGTGGCCTTCATCACGAGGCCCTGTGGAAGGAAGTTAGGTCCCTGGCAATGTATCTTCCAGGAGGGTCTGGGAGCCCCCTCTTTGCTTTTCGGCCACCACCCCATGCTCCTGCCACAGTAAACTGTGCCATCACCGAGGCTGTGGGACATGGACTGAAGCCCTCCAAACTCTGGCCCACTCAAACCTCTCCTCTCTTTAAATCTATCAGGTCAAGTATTTTGTCACAGTGGCAGAAAGCTGGCCAGCTGCGTGAGCGGGGGAACCCATGTTACACCTTGATGCCCAGAGCACTGTGAGGTGGTGAGAACTCCTCGCTCAGCCCGTGGCAGGCACCGAAGCATCGCATGCCAGATGGTTTATGATACCATTCTCTCTGTGTGTGTGTGTCCCAACTGAGACTTGAACTCAGGGTCTGGGCACTGTTCCTTAGCTTTTTTTTTTTTTTTTGTTGGTCGTAGAGCTTGAACTCTGGGCCTGGACACTGTCCTTCAGCTCTTCAGCTCTACCAATTGATCCACAGTGTCACTTCTGGTTTTCTGGTGATTTATTGGAGATGAGGGACTCACTGACTTTCTTGCCCGGGCTGGCGTTGAACTGTGATCCTCAGATCTCGGCCTCCTGAGTAGCTAGGGGATTACAGGTGTGAGCCACTGGCGCCCCCCCCCCCGCCTTTCCTTAGTTTTTTTGCTCAAGGCTGGCACTCTACCATTTGGGCCACAGTTCTGCTGGCTTTTGGTGGTGCATTGGAGATAAGAGGAATCAATTTTTTTCAGTCTGAGCTGGTTTCTAACTGCAATCCTCAGCTCTCAGCCTCCTGGGTAGCTGGGATTACAGGTGTGAGGTACAGGTGCCTGATTTGCTTTTGGCTTTTTGAGTCAGGACCTCAGGGCTGTTAACCCCAAATTCCTGACCCTTAAGACCTGTTGCATATGTAAGATTCTTACCTGCTGTGTTTTGGGTCACTTTTAGCATATAATTCGTTATATGACAACAACAAATACATGGGGTATGTTAATTTTATAGGCAAAAGATAAACTGTTAGCTGCGTTTAGCTAGCCAGGAAGGCTGACGCTTGGAGAACAGCGGTTCAAAGCCAGCCTGGGCAGGAAATAAGGCCCACAACGGGGGCTCTAAGTCCCTCCTGGAAGCCTGCCAGAGCTGTGTCCATACCTTGCTTGATGACAGGAGACTTGGGGTCCATGGTGAAGAACACCTTCCCGCCGGCGCTGACCGGCCGCTGGTACGCGGCAGGCGGGACCATGGAGGGCCCGGGGAAGCCCTGGGACCAGCTCCTCTGCACCGGCATTGGCCGGATGCCATGGTGGAAGGGCATATGTGGCGGTGAGAACAGGTGGTTTGGCGGGAGGGTGGCCCGAGGTGACTGCTGCCCAGGCCAGGGGGGCGGGCCTCGCACCCAGGCGTAGGAGACCTGCAGGGCAGGAGGGGAAGGATGGTGGTCAGCCGCTCTGCTCTGTACCCTTGGGCCCTGCCACAAAACTGCCAACCTAGGTGGTGGCTCGAGTTGCCTCCTCCAGGAAGCCTTCCAGGACATTCCTCCAACGCACCATCACGTTCACATCACACCCTCCCATGCGGATCCACCCAGGTCTGTGAGGCGCTTGGCCAGGCCAGGCCGTGTGCTGTCTCCACGGTATGAGGCACTGGGTGCTGAGCTGGTGGGATGGCCCTGAGGGAATCGAGCCTTCCCTTCCACCTCCCTCACCTGGGATTGTGGCCCCCAGAATGGACGCCTGGCACATATGTGACTGGCACTCACACAGTGGCTGAAAAGAAGAGTGAAAGCTGGCTGCTGGTGCTCAAGCCTGTAATCCCAGCTACTCAGGAGCCTGAGGTCTGAGGATCACGGTTCAAAGCCAGCCTGGGCGGAAAAGTTTGCATGACTCTAATTTCCAATTAACCAGGAAAGAAGAAAAAAGAAAGAAAGGAAGAAGGGAAGGAAGAAAGAAAGAGAGAGAAAGAAAGAAGGAAGGGAAGAAAGAAAGAAAGAAAGAAGGAAGGAAGGAAGGAAAGAAAGAGAAAGAAAGAAATAACGAGAGAGAGAAACAGAGAAAGAAAGAAAAGCCAGAAGTGGAACTGTGGCTCAACTGATAGAGCAGAAAATCCCAGACAGCACCCAGGCCCTGAGTTCAAGTGCCATGACCCACACAAGGAAAAAAGGAAGTGCAAGCAGGTCACCAAGTCTCTGGCCATCGCCTGTCCTCCTTCCAATGTGTTCCCAGGCCGAGCCCTGGGGGGCAGGCTTGCCAGCCCTGGTCCTCAGCACCCAGCTCCCCTGGTGCCCGAGGCAAGCTACAGGTGTCTGTGCAGGGAGTCTCCACCCTCAGACCTGGGGCAGGCCACTCAGCAGGAAGCCACCAGGACCCATCCAACCCAGCCGAGGCCAGCGAGGGGGGCCTGGCCCTGGTCCTGCTCATGGTGGGCCTGCCCTCACTCGGGCTGTGTGGTTAAATCATGACCCAGATGAGAGCTGTCCCTCACCACAGTGGACACACCTACTTCTCACAGAGCACGCTCTGGGTCACAGGTGACAGGGTAAATGACCCCCCCCAATCTGTCTAGAACACAAATCTGGAGGGTGAGGTGCAGGGGTGCACCCTATGTTGGCTGCTTGTGGCCTGGTGGTGTGGGCGCTCAGGGGGACAAGGAAAACTGCAGCCCAAGGTGGTGGGTGGGGCTGAGCCACCAGCCAATCACAATCCTAGGCCTGAGGGATTGGCTCAGGGTGGGGACATGGGATCCAATCAAGAGCCAAGGAGACCCAGGGAGAATGGGCTGGACACCAGGAGGCCACCCTGGCCTCTTGGACTTGAGGATGTGGCAGCCCTGCCCGAGGCTTTGGAAGGCGAGCCTCAGATCTCAGCCTCCCAAGTAGCTGGGATTGCAGGCATGAGCACAGGCACTGGGTGAACTATTTATCTTATGAAAGCAAAACTGTTCCCATTAACAACTCCCCCTTCCCCTCCCCTGTGGCCCTGGTCACTGCCAACCCCTCTTTGGCCTCTATGAAACTGACTACCCTTGAACTTTGTATATGAAGAAACTGTGTTTGTCAGTTTGAGACTGGCTCAATGTCCTCATGTATATGGATGTTCTTGCTTTTTTAAGGCTGAATCGTGTTCTACTGTACAGCTAGACCATGGTGTGTTTATCCATGTATCTGTGATGGCTGTCTGCATTGTTTCCACACACAGCCACTGTAAATGAGTCAGCTATGGGGAGGGGCACCGAGCAGAGGGAGTGGCTCAGGACCCCTGACTGGGGCCCGGCCCTGAACCTCTTAGTGTGGGAAGCTGGGCAGAGATGGTGTCCCATGCAGGACACAGAGCCTGATAACTAGGTTCCTAATGTGTGTGTGGGGTAGGGTGGGGGTGGGTTATATAAAATACAGCACAGGCTGCAGTCAGGGACCCGGGGAGCTTCTCAGAGTGCATCACTTGCTTAGCATGTGTGAAGCCCAGGGTTCGATCCCCAGCAATGCTAATAAAATACTGCCATCAACTCCTTGAGATTGTCAGTGGAAAATGAAGCATCCCCTCAAAAAGAGGTGTGCTGGTGGAGGGGCTTTGGCTGGAGGGTGAGAGCTGGGCTTCAGCACTCGGCAGCTCTACTTTGTCACAAGCAAGGTCACGGTGTTATCAGAACTGCTGCTCATAACTGTGAGGAGCAGGGCAGACAGGAAAACAACACAGGAAAGAAGAAGGGCTCCTAGTTCAGGGAGCGCCTGGCTGTGCCCACGTGAGCATGTACGTGGAGTCCAGTCAGCAGTTAGCAACAAGCCTGGGTTTAGAAACTTGAGTTTAAATATATCTGTATGGGGGAAAGTGAAGGGAGGGGAAACATTACCCGAATTACCTGGACGCATTAGCTGAATTGTGAAATGGTAACCCTCCCCAAGTAACACCTTAATAATGACAAAATTATATTAAAATGTGTGTGTGTGTGTGTGTGTGTGTGTGTGTGTGTGTGAATATTGGCCAGGAGCTGGTAGTGGCTCACACCTGTAATCCTAGCTGCTCAGGAGGCTGAGATCTGAGGATTATGGTTCAGAGGCAGTCTGGGAAAGAAAATTGGTAAGACTCTTATCTCCAAAACAGCAAAAAGCTAGAAGCGGAGCTGTGGCTCAGTACTCATTTGGCTAGCAAGTAAAAGGCCCTGAGTTCAAACCCTAGTGCTTCCAAGAAAAGAGAGGAGAGGTGGTTAGGGCTGGGCACAGCAGCGACCTGAGAGGGACACTGATGGTCACAAAGCCCCCATGCCTTTCTTCTATCACCTGTGTCTTCCTCCCAGATGGACATCCTGATATCTGCCTGTTGAGCTTGCAAACTCACGCCCTTGTCAATGGCCAGGTACTTTGGCTTGGGGACCCAAGCAGTCAGCCAAAGGTAAAACACTCAGTGAGCATCTATGCTATTAGATCCACAATGATGAGCACAGACATTTCATAATCATTATAATAGAGTGCACTCACATTCATGGTTACCTTCTACCATGCACACAGGCTTTGCTTCTCAGAGCTTACAGAGATGCCGGCTGGGCCAGAAAAGTGGCCTGACATAACCCAATTGTGGTCCCCAGCCAAACATCAAGAGCAGAGACCTCGGTCTGATGCCGGGCTGGGCTGAAACCAGACCGTGAACCCAGAGCATTTAACAATAGCATACAATGAGTGGGGCGCCAGTGGCTCACACCTGTAATCCTTGCTACTCAGGAGGCTGAGATCTGAGCATTGTGGTTTGAAGCCAGCCTGGGCAGATATGTCTGTGAGACACTTATCTCCAATAAACTACTCAGAAAATGCTGAAAGTGGTGCTTCGGGTCAAATAGTGATCATAAAGAGATCCAGGGACAGCACCTAGGCCCTGAGTTCAAGCAAAAAAACAAAACAAAACACAACAAACCAAAAAAAACCCCAATAGCATAAAATGAATAGATGCCCCCAGAGGATATAAAAACAAACAAGGGAGCGGCAGAAGTGTGTTGGGGAGACATGGACGAGCCAAGGAGGGGACAGTCTGAGACGAACAGCCCAGAGCTGGATGACAACCTACAGTGCAAATGTGCACATCCACGTGGGTACAAACACGTGACTGAGTAGGCAGCCTCCTGGAGGGAGGACCGCTCACTTCTCCAGGGGGCAGTGGGGAAGAGTGGGCGTGTAAGGCATCCCCAGAATCTGATCCCTAGCAAAGAGGGGTAACTGGCTGCCTAAGACCATGAATGCAGGAATCTGAGCTCAGGGCCAGGAGAGGGCACTGTGTGACAAGGCATTAGATGAGCCAGCAGAGGGCGCTGTTTGACACTGGCACGCAAGCTCTCAGCCAGCAGAGGGCGCTGGCCTCAAGCATCCTTCCCTTCCAGTGCTCCCCAGGTGCCTCCTCACTTCCAAAGAGGGTAATAATTCTGAGTCCCCTCGATCAGGAAAAAATTATGCACAGGATTTCAATCTGAGAAGTCAGGATCCTACATGACATAACTCAGAAGGGCCAAGTCCACATTATTTTTAAGTCTGGGGCATGAAGGGGTTGTTCCCTTTAAGTTTGTTCTGAGGAGCTGTTCCCGTGGACTTCGCTTCTCTGCTCGGGCCCATCTCCATGTCCTCGGTTGTCAGTCTTCTTTTTTTTTTTGTCGGTTGTGGGGCTTGAACTCTGGGCCTGGGCGCTGTCCCTTAGCTCTTCAGCTCAAGGCCAGCACTCTACCACTTGAGCTACAGCGCCACTTCCGGTTTTCTGGTGGTTTATTGGAGATAAGAGTCTCACGGTCTCTCCTGCACAGGCTGGCTTTGAACTTTGATCCTCAGATCTCGGCCTCCTGAGTAGCTAGGATTACAGGCATGAGCCACCAGCACCCAGCTGGTTGTCAGTCTTCTTAGCTGAAGACTTTTCCTGTCCTGTCAGGACAGGAAAATGCCCGGACTTGGCCTTGCTAGACTGAGTGAACGAATGAATGCATGAATGATCACCCAGAGAGAAGAGAAAAGCAGCGACTATCTTTTAAGCTCCTTCTGTTGTGGGAGAGAAACAGAATAGACGGGGGGGGGGGGGGGGCAGACTAAGCAGTGTGCTGAGAGGGGCAGGGCACTTCTGAAGCAAGGCAGAGCTAAACTAGTTTTGCCGTCTGGTCTGGCTACTCAACTGTCAGCTGAGCAGCCAAATGCCCACATGAATGGGTTTACTGTGTTCCAATAAAACTTTATTTACAAACACAGATGTTAGGCGACAGCTTGCCTGAGGGCTGTGGTCTGCCAGCCTCTATATGAGAGACAGAAAGATGGAATTTAACATTAAACAAAATTGAAACTGGCTACTGGTGGCTCATGCCGCTCAGATCCGTGGATGGAGGTTCAAAAGCGGCCCAGGCAAGAAAGTCTATGAGGCTCTGATCTCCAATGACCTACCAAAAAACTGGAATTTAAGCTGTGGCTCTAAGTGGTAGAGCATTAGGCTCAAGTACAAAAGCTCAGGGACAGCATGCAAGCCCTGAGTTCAAGTCCCAGGACTGTGTGTGCACACACACACACAAATGGGGTCTGCTCCCCGGCCCCTGTGTGACCCTGACACGCCTGTCTCTTCTTGTGTCTCATCTGTTGCATAAAGATAATGGCAGCTGCTTCTCACTCTGTGAGAACTAGATGAGAACAAGCTTGGTGAACCTCACGACACAAGATACATGCTCATTAAATGCTAGCCAGCAGGCAGAGCCTCTGGCTTTGCCAGGAGCTACGACAGCACTCCCAGTAAGAAGCGGGTGGAGGTGGGGGAGGAACCGGAAGTCAGTCTGCATTTCCTCCTTCCCTCAGAGCTCTCCCTGTGCCCTCAGGTCACGTGGCCCTCCACCCCAGGGGGCCCAGGTGGGCCTGGCTGGGACCGTGGCAGGGGCCTCGTGGCTTAGGCTCTCACGTCACCATCGCCCGGTGCTCCGGGCTCTCCGGAGCTGAATCCTCGTAGATGGGCTCAGGAGAGCTGGTTGCTGGCGACACGGAACCTCGGGGAAGTGCAGGGCCTTCATGCGCTATTCTCCCACGAGGGTGGGTGAACCCAGCGGCATCCACAGAGATTCTGAAGGGAGCCCGTGACTCACCTGTGGCTGTTTGGTGGAAATCGGAAAGCTAAGCTCAAAAGACGGAGGGAGATGCAGTTGACATTTGACCTTGAGCCTCTGAACTCCAGAGCCCTCTGCTTGTTCCCACAGGCCTGTGGCTTGCTTGGAAGCACGTGGGTGGCAGAGCTGGGATATTAACTGCCTGGGCCCTGGCCCCCGCTGAGTCCCTGGGCAGATGAGTTGGGGCCATCACTTGTGACCGGGATGCAGTGATGGCTAATCCGTGCCAGGCTCCATTTGGACACAGCTGCATGGTTTACAGAGACTCCCCGCATTCTCTCCCTCTTTCTGGCAGTACTGAGATTTGAACTCAGGGTCCAGGCTTGCTAGGCTGACATGGTACCATTGAGCCATGCCTCCGTTGCTTGTTTTCACTGGTTATTTTTAGGGCAGGGTCTTGCTTCCTGCCTGGGTGTGTCTGAGCCAAGGTCAGCCCACGGTCGGTCGGGCTCCTGTTGTGGCAGGCACCACAGCTTCCCCCAACTGGGACAGGGCCGCATGTGCCTTTCTGCCTGGGCTGGTCTGGGACCTCATTCTGCCCAATCTCCCCCTTCACTGAGTGTGGGATGACAGGCTCACCACCACCACCAGTTATGAGGCCCAGATGAGGTCTTGCAAGCTTTTTTGCCCCGGTTGGCCTCGAACCACAATCCTCCTAGTCTCAGCCTCCCAAGTAGCTAGTACGACAGGCGTGAGATCCCCTGGCTGATTTTCAGCCATGCACCATGAAGAAGACGTTGACTCCAGCACACAGAGAGCCCCAGGCTGGGTCACAGAGCTGTAGGCAGCAGAGCCCTGATCTGCTGGGGTGGCTTCATCTGTGGGGTGCCCCAGGCCCGTGTCCACCCCTCTCCCCAAACAGAGGCTGCTTCTGCAGTGGCGACCACCCACTGACGCACGCAGCTTGCGGAGACACCCACAGAGGGCGCTAGGTCCCCTCCTCCCCAATCCCACCCGACCCAGCCTGAAGTGGGCAGGGTGACGTCGTGAGCAGGGTGACGTCACAGACATCCCCCCCCTTCCCCAGCACCCTCTCCCCACAGCTCCACTCCTGCCAGGCCTGGCTCACCTGGGACGGGTTCTCGATGACCAGCTCATAGGTCAGCCCGGCCGAGCCGAACCTCAGGATGTCCCCGGGGATCAGCTTCACGGCCACGTTCTGGATGTGGCACTCGTTGACGAATGTGCCGTTGCGGGAGTTGAAGTCCTGCAGGACGAAGCTGCCCTCTGCTTCGTTGTACTCAATAAGCGCATGGTGGTTGTCAATGTCCGAAGACTGGAAGAGAGGAAAAGCAGAGGGCGTGGCCACTGCAGGCCCTGTGCTCACGGGGTGCCCTTGCTGGGAGAAGGGGACCCTGAGGATCAGAGAGGTGCGGTGATCTCCTGAGGTCACACAGCTGCTGGGACCTGGGGACAGACACTGCGCTGTGGGGCGAAGGGGATGGTACTTAGGGAGTCATGGAGAGCTCTGGCCTGGGCACTGGCCATTTCCCAGCCTACTGACCCACACAGTAGGTGGCAGAGACTGGCAGAGGCTGGTCAGCAAGAGACAGCTGCCCTGACTCTGAGGAGGAAAAGACTGGGTTCCTGGGAGGAGGAGCCAGTGGAGGGGAGGGGTAAGCAAGCAATTAATTGTCTTCACAGAAAAAAAACCACACGAAATAGAAAAAGACGCTCCGTCACCTTTCACCCGACAGAGGCAGCCGCCACGGACGGCACAACTCACATCCCCAGCGTCGGTTCACACTCCTAAGCCCTGCGCGGGAAGGGGAGGAGTCCCCTTCCAGCAGCGTTCCCAGGGCTTCTGGAAGCAACTCAGAATTCATCTAACCAAAGGTGACTTCCTGCCTCCCTCCCTCCCTTCCTCTTTCCCTCCCTCCCTCCCTTCCTTCCTCTATTCCTTTTTATCTCCTCCTTCCCTCCCTCCTTCTTTCCTTCCATCTTCCCTCCCTTCCTCTCTCCCTCCCTCCCTCCCTCCCTTC